CAAACCGCCGGTCCCATACTGTCTTACTGACAGCTCTTACTGGGGTGGACTGGTGGACTTGGCCAAGAGATACGTATCGCCAGCGGAGATCGACTATGAGGCGGTGACAGAAACTTCAGAGTTCCCTCATCTCGGGAGGGGTATTTTCTCTCAACCCTACCTCCCCACTCTATGGGAGGAATTATGTGTCATGCTTGACTTCCGTATCATGGGACTTGGCTGGAAATGTTTGGAACTAGTAGGCTTCAGGTGGCTTTACATTCAGAAGCCTCAGAGAGTTCGGAGACATGGCAAGAAGCCCAAACGGCAGACAACAAAGAGAGAAATGGAGTGAAGTTCAAAGGGATGAGTGAGGATCTTGGTTGGTGCTGGCCATGCTCTCTTTCATATGTACTTCCTGAGACTATTACGAGTTCTCATTCTTCCCTCATTCATTTGACTCTGTCATTGCTCGAGTCAGTCAGTCTTGCTTCTTTGCATTGCCATGCTTGATGTTTGCGTTATTTAATGATTTTGTCACAGTTCTAAAAAATCAGATTGACACAACTAATGCATGCATAGCACTCCATAATTTTATAATTAATTTTCCTTGCATGATTCTCTGCTGTTCCGAATCAAAATGAAAGATTCCTAAGACCGGGGACCGGCGAAGACCGCAATTGAAGGGTCTCGCTCGAAGCCGGACGCACACAACAGGAAGGGATTTGCATTATTTAATTTATTTTATTTATTGCAATCACATACAAAATCCTGCGTGACATCCTATTGGCTTTCCGGTCGCTCGAGGTGGCCCGACTGGAAAAAGTGTGACAGCAGGCAACGAGCCTTACGTCTGACTGATCTGGCTGATCAAGAGGGAATTTAAGGAAATCCTCCAAGAGTCCTCATGAATTCTTTAACGTCGCAATCAGGACGGCGATCACAGCCAGTGGACAGTTCAGACCCCAACCAGAAATGTTTATAGACGGTCTGGGAGCGTCTAGGCAGGACGGGTCAGTCCGCACACCCCTTCTATCAGTGCAGCAAAGAGCCTCAATGGACAAAGCAGCAAAGCCTGCATGTACTACTCCTATGGGTTGGCATGGTGACCGTCACCGTGACCCGTGCTTCGACCAGGGCCCTTCAGAGGCACTGCCCTCTCTTGCCAGATGCACCACCGGGAAGAATGTCATCTCTCAAGGTGGAGCGCACACGACTCCTCACCAAAGAGAGGACACTCAAGTTGGACTCACTTCCTTACGGTAAGAAGAGAATGAGAGGGTAGATAAGGAATGGGAACAACGCACCTGGAGATAGCTGCCCCCAACCACAGATTTCTCACCAATTGGGCCGACGTGCATTTCGATGACCGGTCAATAGCCTCGGTACCACCCACAGCGCAATGCAGTGCCACCTCAGCCAAAATGCCACATCAGCATACTCTCATCATCATGCATACACCCACTGTCGCCACAGCTCCCACGCTATCGCCACATCCTTCCAGCAGCTGGCCTCTGCACCTAGGCCCCGCTCAATCAAACCAGCGCCAAAGTATCCTTACTGCACATGAAGCAGCGTCAGCTCACCAAGTAACAATGTCACCGGTGCCAGGTAAGCAGCGATCGCGAACCAGCTCCGATACCAAATTGCAAGGAATATGAGTGTGAACGATATACAGAAAACCAAGTTGCGAAATCACACAGATGTCCAAGTAGTCATGTCCAAGCAGAGAGTACAGATGCACCGAGAAAACCATCCATATAGAGCAATACAATGAAGTAATGAGTCAATGTCCAAGCCCGTAGGCCACACCAACACAGTATCCAAAGTCGCTCCTCTCTGACTGGTGCCCAGTGCCCAGCCTACTCTACCGGACTATCCTACCTACATCTGGTTCACGCAACAGGCTCACTTCGACTCTCGAAGACCAATGTACATGACTGTCAACACCATAGTCGACCTCTCTTCATGCACCAGGTACGTATCTCGTCACCCTCAATCAGACCTTGATTACCCCACACTGCGCCTCCTTCCCTGAAGACCACTAGATCGCCCGCTGTACCCCCTGGCGCCCAGCAGCCCAGATATGGCTGCCTGCACCCCACCTCACCACTATGCGCCCCGTCAGCGCCTTTGGCAGCAGCGCAGCAGCACTTCCGCATTGCCTGCACTGGCCAGAATGCCTGGCCTGGGCTGCCTCACTTCTTTTATGGAAGTGGCAGCCTCCTGGATGCTGCGTGTGGCCTCGCTGGAAGCTTCCAGTAGCTTCCGGTTCGGCCTCAGACCCTGTGCCCAGGCCTGAGACTACAGTTGAGGGCCTGGGCCCTCTGTGCCGGGCTCCCAGGCAAGTGCGTCGGCAGGAGTGCTTTTCCAAAGGTCGATGGCCTGCTTCCCAATGTATCGGCCCTGCTTTGTGTGTATGTGCCCAAGCACAACTGTCAAGGCCTGGGCCAACTGTATGACGCAGCTTAGTGATGCTCACGCGTCTACCCAACCAACTGGCGTGCTGTGAGAGCCTGAATACCCACATATGGAAATGTCGAATTTTGGCCTCTGCCGAATATTCAGGCCCGCCTTCACTTAGGGCGGGCACTCAGCTTGCTGGGGGCCTTAGCCCAGAACATGTGATGTCTGATAGGGCCCCTTGAGGGCTTGTTCCTCACAGTGTAGAATCTGTTCTGAACAGTTTAACATCTGATCCGCGGTCCATCAGAAACATATTAAAAAAAAAAAAAAAGTGTGGAAGAGTATGACCTGGCAATTAGGGAAAAGAGAGAGTAGAGTAATCGTTCACAAGTAGAATGATCATGATCAAATCAGACGGAAAAAAAGTTATGGTTGGTTGCGGCTGCCAAATATTATGGATGTTTGGTATGGGTCCGGTGTGGCTGTATGGGAAGACTCTGAGGGAGTTTGCAAGCTGTGTGTGTTTTTCAAAGATTCCCAAATTCTGTGTTATTCCAGCCACAAATCATCACAAATCATCCATAGAACAAAAAAGGCGTCGATACGCAACATAGTACAAGATGCAAGGTTGCCCACATTTGTGTGGTAGACCACCAGTACTAGGCCCGGCTATCGGCCGCAGAAAAAAAAAAAGTAGAAACGTTTCTAGTTGGATGAATTTGGCCACTCCTGCAGTGGCCCGTACGTTTCCTAAAATTGTGGCTTGTTAAGGGGTTGCTTATCACCAGCGAGCATGAGTTCGAGCAAGAGAAAAATCTGCAGAAAAGGGGACAGCCATACCCTTGCGGTCCTACCTTCTTCCCCCGGACATAACGCATATGTGTTGTATTCGAGTTTCACAATTTGAAAAACAAAATCGAAAAGAATGCATATGCGTTGATTCAAATTTTAGGGCTATTTGAATAGAACGCATATGCGTTGTAGTCAAATAGAAAGCACCCTATGCGTTGTATTCGTTTACAACGCATATGCGTTATATTCAGGAGAAGAAGGTAGTCACCTATGAAGGGGGGGAATGCTACGATCCACGTCACCTCCCATACCATAGCCTCCCCGAGGATACTTGTGGCATACTGTAACGGTGCAGACCAGAACAAGAACACTTGTTGCATACTGTAACGGTGCAGACCAGAACAAGAACCGACCTCTCTCACAAAGTACAAGATAGCGTAGCGGAAGACTTCAATACCAATGATCCGAACAATCAATATTGCAATGCAGACCCAAACATACATCATCATCACTCCATGGTGTGAAGGGGCCTGGCGCTCACACAGGAAGAATGTGCCAGTCCCCACCATACACAGACGAAGAAGAGGGGGGTTAGACGAAGAGGAGGGGAAGATGGGAATGTCGTCAACACCAAGTCTTCGGCACAAGCCCAAATAGTCCCTCGTCAAATGTCTGAATCCCAATGTCGAGTCTGGATCCAATGTCGTAAAGTCTCAAGTCACAACTCTCTCTCTCTCTCGTAGTCTGCAGATACCGAGAAGTCAGGTAGGGAGAGGGTGAAGAAGAGGTGGTGGACTTAGAAGAGGAAGAAGAACTCTCTCTCTCTCTCTCTCTCTCTCTCTCTCTCTCTCTCTCTCTCTCT